AAAGACACAGAGTGGCAAGATGGATTAAAGAACAAGACCCAACAATTTGCTGCCTCCAGGAAACACATCTCAGCTCCAATGACAAACACAGGCTCAGAGTGAAGGGGTGGAAGACGATACTCCAAGCTAATTGCAAACAAAAGAAAGCATGTGCGCAATACTTATATCAGACAAGTAGACTTCAAGGTAAATCAGGTAAAGAGAGACATAGAAGGTCAATATATAATGATCCAAGGGACACTCCATCAAGAAGAAATAACACTTATAAATATCTATGCACCCAACACACGAGCACCAAAGTTCATAAAGCAACAATTAACAAACCTAAAAGAAGATATTAAAAATAACACAATAATAGTAGGGGACCTCAACAACCCACTCACATCCAGACAGAAAATCAACAAGGAAACTGTGGAATTAAGTGAAAAGCTAAACCAGTTGGATTTAATAGACATATAAAGAACACTCCATCCAAAAACAGCAGAATACACATTCTTCTCAAGTGCACACGGAACATTCTCAAGGAGAGACCATATGTTGGTACACACAATTTAAGAAAATTGAAATAATAACAAGCATCTTTTCCAATCATAATACTAGAAAGCTAGAAATTAATTGCAATTAATTGCAAGAAGAATTCTCTCGTGTTGGCCTGGCTTATTTTCCTGAAGATGCTTTGTATTTTTCTTTAAAGACGTAATAATCAAGTTCTTTGAATTTGGCTGACCAATTTAGGGAAAAGTCTGAATGTTCTGAACTTTGTACTCCTTCTGGTAGGGCCTGTCCTCCGTAAAGACGTCAGTTAAAGCAAAGGAAAGAAGATCAGATATTTTCGTAGAGTTTACTCCCAGGAGAACAAGACAGTCTTGCACTCTCTTTGCTTGCTGCAGGAATAAATAAGTAACTACACAAAAGACACACCAAAAGAATGCATAAATCCCAGTAAAACTTGTTACCATTTATAGGTTCAAAAGGCTAAATTTGTACAACCATGTGCTTAAAGTTTATGTTATTCATTCTCTTATGTATTCAAAGTATTAAGGGAAAATACCCAAACTTGGGTATAAAGTAAAAGAATGACCATGTCCCTTTGTTGTCATTCAAACGTTGTCTGGGGGGATTGTTCCCTTGTTTCACTTACTGTCTACTATTGGTTAGGGCTCAGATTCTGTGGAATAGAAATGTTAACTTGTAGATTTATAAGATGGAAATGATTTTTGTCCAGTAGAGGTGCACATGACTTCTCTACTTTAGAAAAGGTAGTGACAAAGGTTATGATTTTATTGCCCTATACACTGGTGGCCGGTTTTATATCTAACCTAACAACCTTATCACAGCGTGATTTCTTTCAGTGCCTGCCTGTGCTCAGTCTCTCCAGTTCTCTTTGAACCAGCTTTACAATTCTGCTACTTCCTTCATTAATGAATAAAGCAAATTTTTGAAGCATATTCACTCTATATTTGTATAAGCCATGTTTTTAACTTTAAAAAAATTATACTTTGACACTAGCATTAGCATTATCCCAAAAAAGAATTTTAGGTAACCCCAATCTCATGTTCATATACAGAGCCTCTTTCCTTGGCTGCTGTGGGCTGCACTAGGCAATACTTTGGAAGCGTTTTTGTATTAATGTATAAGATTAAGACTTTGTTGAGGAAGAGAGAACTGATCAACTAGCTTCAGTTTAGGGGAAGAAAAACCAGAGGAGGTTATTCATTGGTAAAACAAATACCATTTAATGATGCCTCTGCTTGTCACAAACACCACCTCCATTGCTGTCATGGCAATCACAGGTTCACCTTTGCTCAGGCACACAGAATATTTGCTGCATCTCTCTGCTGGCGCAGGAGTTTTTCTGAGGTTCTCTGCATCCACTCTGTTCCATTCCTATGCATCACAGAATCTGAGAGGTGGAGGCTCGGAGGCCGTCTGGCAGATGCCGCCAGGGAGAATCAGTGAGGCTCTTTAATAAAGATGTTCCCAAAAGGTTAAGTATAAATTCAATTTTAAAAAAATCTTATTTCAAATGAGCTGGGACCTTTGCTTTATTGTAAAGAATAAATTACTTAATAATTGTAAAGAAATCACTGTGTAGCTCTATTTGAAAATGGTGTTAGGTTCTGCTTAAACATTATTAAATGTTTTAAGGAAAAATATATTGCCTCTACCAAATATTGAGATAGCTTTGGAAAATAAAACAGTCATGAATTATCTGTGAAAGGAGAGTAAAAAGTGAAAGAGCTTTGCAAACTGTGTAGTGCTACATTTTCACAGAAATGTTACTTATTTTCAATATAGTAATTAAATGTAACCTGAATGTCCCCAATTCTACAGATAACTGAGGGGTCACCATTCCTTTGATATTCCAAATAAAATACCTTGAGTCCACATTCCACGTTTGATTTTAGTAAATTCAGTCTCCTCCTAAATATCTCTGAGAATTCCAGAGAGAGTGTCAACAACAGACTCCAGCTGTCCCCTTATTCTAGACCACTTCTGGCTGTCGGGCTCTCTCCCAGCCTTCTCCCTACGCCTCTTTATTGCCTTCTGTCTTTCTGTGGTCCAGTCCACCGACCAACATGATCACAGCCTTTCCTGTATTTCCCAAGAAAATGCTAAAATAAATCTGACTCTAACTTAGTAGTTAATAAAGGTTTGCTGAAACCACTGGAGCATCCGGAGAGGAATTAAGATATAAAATAGGAGACAACTCACAATACGCCCTCCTCAGGCCCGCCTCTCGCCATACTTCTGTAGTCCACTTTCCCTAGCCAGGGTCCTTTCTACTACCTTCTTGCTCTTTTTCCAGAGGGATCTGAAAATCATTCAAAATTAGATCATACTCTACCTTACAGAAGCTAGCCTTTTCTATTACTGTAAAAAGAACCTTTGTTCTCTTTTACCAGACCTCCCCATTCCAGCCAATACTTTGAGTCTTTCTTTTCATAACCAACAAGACTCTAAAGATTTGTCTCCCTAAACAAAAGACCAACTCCCCCTTTAGGGACCACCCCTTACCCTCCTTCAAGGAATAGGGAAGTTGCTCCAGCCATTTTTTCTGCCATCTACGCTAAGATGATCACCTGAATGGAGAAGCCAAATAAATTGCCAAGGGTGGGGAAGACTTTGAACCAACTTTTAGACTATGTGATGCTACTTCCTAAATGATTTTATTTTTATATATTAACCGCGTGTCTAATAACTTTGCTAAATTCAGCCATATATTCTAATAGTTTATAGATTGTTTTGAATATTTTATGTACACAACCATTATTTTCAAGTGAGAGTTTTACATTTTTCTATAGAAACCTTATACCTCTTATTTATTTTTCTGCCCACACTGCACAGACTAAGACCACCAATACAAAGGTGAAAGAAGGGACAGTTGTGGACATTCTTGTCTGGTTCAGTCTGGAAGTCAGAGGAAAGCGTTCAATATTTCAACTTTATGTATACTCTTGGTTTCAGGTTTTTGGGTCTTCCTTTTTTCAGATTAAGGAAGTTTCTTTCTAGATCTACTTTGCTGAGTGTTTTTTATTCTGAATGGATTTGGAATTTTATCAAATACCTTTTCTGAATCATTTGAGATGACTATATATTTGTCTTTTATTCTGAAAATGTGATGAATTGCATTGACTGACTTTTGAATGTTAATCAATCTTGCATTCCTGGGATAAACCACACTTGGATTTGATTTGTTTTTATTTTGTTTTGAAGTTTTGCATCTTAGTCTATCAGAAATTGGCCTATAATTTTACTTTCTTGTAATATCTTTGACAGATTATGGTACCAAGTCCTCATAAAACGAGTAGGAAAGTGTTCCTTCATTTCCTAATCTCTAACAGAGTTTGTATAAGAGAGGTATGATTTCTTCCTTAATTGTATGGAAGAATTTACCAGTGATGCCATCGGGACTAGGGCTTGCTTTGTGGAAAGGTTTTTAATTATGGATTCAATTACTTTGACAGATATAAGACTACCTAATTTTTCTATTTTTTTGTGACTATTTTAGTACGTTGTGCTTTTTAAGTAATTTGTCCATTTCATCTAAGTTGTCAAATGTATTGGCACAAAATTGTTCATAATAGCCTTTTATTATTTTTAAAATATATACCAAATCTTGATATTGGCAGTTTATATTCTCTTTCTCTCTTTTTCTTGATAAGTCTTGCTGAGGGGTTATCAATTTTATTAGTCTTTCCAAAGAACCAGCTTTTGATTTTGTGATTTTTCTCTCTTGTTAATCTGCTTTCTATTTCATTGCTTCCTGCTCTTATTTTTATTTCCTCTCTTCTATTTTACCCGTATTTAATTTCCTATTCTTTCTCTAGCTTCTTTATTTTTGCATTTTTAAAAATTGAGGTATAATTGATATATAGCATTATATTAGCTTCAGGTGTACAACAAAATGATTCAATATTTGTATACGTTGGTTGAGAAATATCACCACAGTAAGTCTAGGTAACATCCATCCCCACACAGTTAAAAAAAATTTTTTTCTTGTAATGAGGACTTTTCAGATTACTCTGTTAGCACCTTCAAGTATGCAAGACAGTGTTAATACTATAGTCCCAAAGCTGTACATTACATCTCCATGACGTATACATTTTGTAACCGAAAGTTTGTACCTTTTGACCACTTTCACCTGTTTTCCCCACCCACCACCCCTTCCCTCTGGCAACCACCAATCTGTTCTCTGTATCTCTGAGCTCAGTTTGTTGTTTATCTTCCATGGATAAGTGAGATCACACGGTATTTGTCTTTTTCTGTCTGACTTATCTCACTTGGCATAATGCCCTCAACGTCCCTCCGTGTTGTTGCAAATGGCAAGATTTCATTCTTTTTTATGGATTAATAGTATTCCACTGTATATCTATGTCTATATCTATATATATCTCTTCTTTATCCATTCAGTGGACACTTAGGTTGTTTTTTTCTTTTTCCAGCTTCTTGACATGGCCACTTGAATTATTGACTTTTCAACCTTTCTCCTTTTCTAGTATAGGCTGTGGCAGACAGAGAGAAGTACCACTCAGATAATCCTTCAAGAAAGAACCTGTCCAGCTGCTATGAGTGTGGTTGTTTACAGCCTCCAGCTGTTCTCTTCCTCGGGTCTACTTTGGTTTCAAGCCAGGGTCTGCTCTTCTTGGAGAAGCCTCCAGGACAATGTCTGAGCAAAGCGGTGGTGGCTGACTGCAGGTTCCTCTCAGGGCAGCTTCCAGACAGTGACTGAAACAGACGGTGGGACAAGGGCCTAGCTGTTTCCACCCAACGTGGGACTCTTCTACAGGGCAGCCTTTGCTCTGGAGCTCCTTTTGGGGTGCAGAGACGTGGGGTCAAATTGACATTGCTATCTGATATAGGGTAACTTCCTGACCTGCAGGAAGTTATGGAGATGTTAATAAAACATGGCATTCCTGTTGACAAATTCATTGGCAGTGTACAAGGTACATGTGTATGAATATGTATATATATTCAAAAGAAAGCAAGAATGGAAGAAAAGGAGACTGAGTGTGTTTGCCCTCCAAAAATTTATGGTCACTTGCCCTGTTTCTGAGTGTTTTCTAATAACCTTAAAGAAAAACCCCACTGATTTCTAGCTTAGTTCCATATTTTGTACGATCTCAATCCTTTGAAATTTGAAAAGACTTGCTTTATGGCCTAGCATACAGTTCATCTTGGTCAATGTTCCATGGGCTTTTGAAAAGAATCTTTAGTCTGTAGTTGTTGGGTTTTGTGTATCTATAAGTCAATTAGGTCAAATGGGTTAATCATGTTGTTTAAATCTACTATATTCTGGCTGATATTTTTACCTTCTTGGTCCATCAGGTACTAAGTGAGATATGTTAAAATCTCCAATTATTCTACACAAATACCTGCAGTGGATGTTTATAGCAGCTTTATTCATAATTGTCAAAACTTGGAAGCAATCTAGATGTCCTTCAGTGGGTGAATGGATAAACTGTGATACACCCACACAACAGAATATTATTCAGCATTAAAAATAAATGAGCTATCAAGCTATGAAAAGATATGGAGGAAACTTAAATGCATATTACTAAGTGACAGAGATGAATCTGAAAAGGTTCATACTGTGTGATTCCAATTACGTGACATTCTGGAAAAGGCAAAACTATGAAGACAGTAAAAAGATTGGTGGTTGCCAGCAGTTGAGGGGAGGGAGGGATGATAGGCAGAGCACAGAGGATTTGGGGAGCAGTGAAACTATTCTGTAGGATACTATAATGGATATACATCATCATATATTTGTCCAAACCTATAGAATGTACAACACTAAGAGTAAACCCTAATGTAAATATGGACTTTGGGTGATAATGATGCATCAGCGTAGGTTCATTGATTTTAACACAAGTAACACTCAGGTGGGGGATGTTGATAATGGGGGAGGCTGTGGGTGTGGGGGACAAGGAGTATGTGAGAAATCTCTGTACGTTCTCTTCAATTTTGCTGTGAACCTAAAACTGCTCTAAGAAATAAAGTCTGTTAAAAAAGTCAACCGAGGGAGAGTTGACTGGGAAGAAGTTTGAGAGGAGCTTCTGTGGTGCAAGTGATGTTCTCTTTTGAACTGGGTGTGTTCACTCTCTGTAAATCCATTAAACTGTATACTCATGAGAAAAATCTCTAGTCATAGTTGAGAAAGAGAATCTATTTCTCTTTTTAGCTCTGTCATTTCCTTTTTTAATTTTGAAGCTAAGTATTAGGAAGAAGGAACTGGTCACCCAATTTCGAAAAAATTGGCCATGAAAACCCCTTGAATAGCAGTGAGCACTGTCTGATACAGTGCCAGGAGGTGAGACGATGGCGCAAAAAGACCAGGCAGAGTTGTGCTCTGCCTACACAGGGGCGCTGGGAATTGGAATCTACTCGACGGCACTAACGAAAAGTTAGATGTATATCAATTTAAGATTTCTATGTTGTCCTATTCAAGTCACTCTTTCATCATTATGAAGTGCCCCTCTCAATCTAGCACTACTTCTTGTCCTAAATGCTACTTTGTCTATTACTAACATAACTTCTCCAGCTGTCCTTTGGTTGGTGTTCCCATGGTATATTTTTTCCATCTTTTTACTTCCAACTCTGTAAACAACACGTAATTGCATCTTGTTTTCATTACTCATTCATAGTTTAAGTACATTGTCATCATTAAATTTGATCTGTAAGATATCAATTCTTCGAAATGCATAGAAGTCTAGCATGTGATAAATTTTCGTAAATACTTCATGTGTGTTTGAATGTTATGTGGTAGCTTTGAACAAGCTTATTTATTGTGCTGTTCCAATATTCTATATCCTTTCTCATTTTTTTTTTGTTTCTTTAACTTACCAAACATTGAGAGAAGAGTAAAATCTCCCACTATAAATGTGGATTTGTCAATTTCTCTTGGTAGATATGTCAATTTCTACATCATATGCTTTGAGGCTATGTTATTCCTTGCATACAAATTTAAAATTATGTATTCATGGTTAATTGAGGATTTTTATCATTTTTAAATTGACATTCTTTATTACTACTAAAGCCTTTGACTTAAAGTCTGTATTCTGTGATATTAATATAGCTACTCCAGAGTTTTTGGTTACTATTTATCTGATTTATTGTTTTCCATATTTGATTTTTAAATATTTGTATTTTTATATTATTTACCCTCCTTTTCCATGATAGAAAGACTGAAATTCATGAACTCTAATCACCTCCATCCCAACTCAGATACCAGAGTTTTCCACTATTTTACTTCTAGTCTATTTTTCCCACTTATTGTAATTATTGTTTGATAGAGCCAATGCTTGCTTGAATTTACCTACATGCGTACCAGAATCCTTGCTCATTATTCCTTCTTGCATCTCAGACCTTCCATCTGTGATCACTTTTATTCTACCTGAAGTACATCCTTTAGAATTTAATTTAGTGAGAATGTTTTGGTGAGAAACATTTAATTTTTGTTTGTCTCTATAGTTTGCTTTCCCTCTTTATTGAAAGCTAATTTTTCTGGTTACAGGTTGACAGTGATTTTCTTTCAGTTTACTGAAGATGTTAATTCTATTATCTTCTCACTTCCATTGTTGCTATGAGAGGTTAGCAGTCAAATTGCTATTTATTTGTTGATGATCTCTTTGGCTTCCTTTTAAGATCTCTTTCTATGCAATGTTCTGGAATTACACCATAATAAGTCTAGGTGTTCATTTGGGGGTATATTTATCGAGCTTCCTGTAAATGAGCATTGAGGTATTTCAATAATTCTGGAAAATTCTCAACTATTATCTGTAGAACATTTCCTATTCCCCTATTGCCGTATTCTAGAACTCTGAGTAGACAGAAGATAGGACCTTTTAATTTTTTTTTATGTCCATTAACCTCTATTTCAAGATATGAATTTTAGAAGTCTTGATAACTCCTTGCTTTTTGTCAAATCTTCGATGCCTTTACAAATGTTTTTTAGAACTATAATAGACAGTGCTACAATTTTTTTTACTATCAAACATAATTTAGAAAACTCAAGAGGAGGAGAGCCTATTGTATTTACCCATATTTTGGTTTACTAGGTTCTTTTTTTTCATCCTAATATCCCAAGCTTCCTTCTTTTATAGTTTCCTTTCTGTTTAGAGAACATGCTTTAGCTATTCTTTTGTGGTAGGCATGCTGGTGACAAATTCTCTTGGTTTTTCTTCATCTGAGAAGGTCTTGATTTTCCCTTTATTCCTGAAAGACATTTTCACTGAGGATAAGATTCTGGGTTGACAAGTTTTCCTTTTTCTTTCAGTTCTTGAAAAGTATTGTGCCAAATCCTGTTGGCCTACATATTTCTTTATGCTCTCAATTTCTAGAGCCATATCTCCAGTCCCAATTTCTCTCTTGAACTTGAGTCACTTATCTTCTGCTGCCACTGGCTGTCCTCATTTGGACGCCCCATGAGCACCTTAAACATACATCCTTATTATTATACCTTCCCCTACTTTCACATGTGTTTCTCTTTTCTTGGGAAAAATACTTTTGTGGAAGGATTTATTTTCCTAACCAATTCAGTGTTGTTGGCGAGAGATTCTCCCAGGGTTTTTTTTGTTTTTGTTTTTGGTGAGGAAGATTGGCTCTGAGCTAACATCTGTGCCAACCTTCCTCTATTTTGTATATGGGATACCTCCACAGCATAGCTTGATGAGTGCTGTGTATGTCCATGCCCAGGATCTGAACCTGTGAACCCTGGGCTGCCAAAGTGGAGAACGTAGAACTTAACCACTATGCCACCAAGCCAGCCTCTCCCAGGGTTTTTTTTAAGCCAGATTTTTTAGGTTTTTTCATTAGGAGGATTAGTCCAGATAGCTAACCCATCATTTAAAGGTATTAGAACGGGTCTTGTTTTCTTGTGTTTGTTATTTTTTATTGTGAACTGCTCATTTTTATTAGAAATTTATCCATAGAGAGTTCTCATCAAGATGGCGCTGTGAGCAGACGTTGAATTTGCCTCCTCTCGCGAACACAACCAGCTTACAACAATTTTGGGAAGAATCACACTGGATTGAAAACTGAAAACTATATAAAAAGAACCCCCACAACAAGGAACAGTCCTGATGAAAGCAGAAGAGGCAGCAACTCCAGCCAGAGAGGAAAAAAGCCACCTTTGGGAGCAGTGGAGCTTCTCAGCTGGCCAGGCGGGAGCCAACCTAAGGTACGCAGCCCTCTCTGGAGGAGTGAGGTCCGGAGCGGGGGGCAATACTGCTATAACCATCCTTCAGACTCAGCCCAACGGAGATGGGGGTCTTACTATCTGGTTTTGCTGGCTATTAACTGCAGCGAGGACACCCCCAGAAAAGCTATTGGCTGAAAGCCAAAAAGATCTTGGTCTTAAAGGGCCCACGCACGAACTCACTCATTGCAGCAACCTAAAATGACCAGAGAGAAGGCTGACTGTCCTCTGGTGAAACAAGACTCACCTGGTGGGCTCTGGCGGCATCTTGGTGAGAGGAGGATCCTCTCCTGAGACTGAGAGATTGATGGGGGCCATTGTTCTGAGCTGGTCCAGGCATGCTGATGCGGACACGGGTGGGGGTCATTGAGCTGCATCCCTTGGGCTGTTAGCCCGGGGGTCTGCCACACCCACTAGACCACACATTTAATCCAGTTCAGCCAGGGCAGGCAACCCACCCTAGGGACTGGCCCCACCTAACAGCAAGACCTCAGGCTACTTTTCAGCCTGCATTGACTGAGTGCCTTGATCCTCTACAGGCAGGCAAGGGTGTCTGCCTCTGTGGGGCAGGGCTTGTGTGAGGACCAAGTGAACTGTGGGGGCATTGGGGCAGAGGTGGGGGCCTCTGCAGTGTGGCGGTGGGGTACGCTCCAGGGGGTTGAGAAGTGTGCACAGACCAGAACTGTGTTGACAGTGTATGTGGTCCAGAGGCAGGTGAGGCTTATCAATGGCAGAAGACTTGTGCTTCACAAATAGCCATAAAAAGGATCAGCCCCAACTTCCAAAGCCTGAAAAAACTGAGTGCCCCCATGCCAAGGGCTAGCCCCATTCAGCTACACTTCTAAGAGAACTGACATCAGCCTTGTTGGCCTCAGGCCTATCACAACTGCATGCCCCTGAGCCTAGCAACCAGCTACACTGGGTACCAACCCAATTAAGAGGACACTTGCAATAAGAGTGTGCTGATAGACTTTGTAGCCAACAGTGCTGAGGCCCCCCCAAACCGGATTTACAAACAGCTGGCCAGGGAAGGAAAGATCAGACTCCCTGGGTACCTGCAGAGAGAGCAGCCCTTTCACAGCAGAAGAACACAAGTAGCCCACAAAGGGGTCACTCCTGGTTCTTAAGGTCTGGTGACGAGAGGGAAGCACACTGTTGGGCCTCATAAGGCATCTCATACATAAGGCCACTTCTCCAAGATCAGGAGACATAGCCAACTCACCTAGTACAAAGAAAATAGCACAGTGAAAGAGTTATAATGAGGAGGCAAAGGAATACTTTCCAAGCAAGGGAACAGTACAAAACCCCAGAAAAAGAACTTAGTGAAACAGAAACTAGCGACCTACTCGACAAAGAATTCAAACAAAATATAATGAGGATGCTCACAGACATGCAGAGAAGAATGGATGAACACAGTAAGCACATCAGCAAAGAACTTTTAGAAAGAGGTCAAGCTAAAGAGTCTATCTACTCAATATAGACTGTTATATGCATAGTATATTAAATAGGATCCTCATGATAACCACAAACCAGAAACCTATAACAAGCAGGAAAAAAAGTAAGACAAAAGAAATCAAACATATTACTAAAGATAACCATCAAACCACAAGGGAAGAGAGCAAGAGAAAAAGAAAGGAACTGAGAAGAACTACCAAAATACCCCAAAAAAAGAGAAAAAGTGACAAAATGGAAATAAATACATATTTATCAATAGCTACTTTAAACGTCAATGGACTAAATGCTCCAATCAAATGCCATAGGGTGGTCAACTGGATAAAAAAACAAGATCCATGTATATGCTGCATACAAGAGACACACTTCAGACCTACAGACACTCACAAACTGAAAGTGAAAGGATGGAAAAAGATATTCCATGCAAATGGCAAAGAAAAGAAAGTGGGGGTAGCAATACTTACATCAGACAAAATAGACTTTAAATCAAAAACTGTAATAAGAGACAAAGACGGGCACTACATAATGATAAAGGGAACAATCCAACAAGAAAATATAACACTTGTAAATATCTATGCACCCAAC